GAAAATGAAATGATGATGTTCAAGAAAAGTTTTTAGTCACTGGAAAAAAACTGGTAAATAAATACCAATATTCTCCACCTGTGGTGTAATTTGATTAGAAGAGTTAGGCTATAACAATAAGAATAAATATTTCCTTAGCAGTTAGATGTAAAAAATTATATGTAACCTTTGGAAACTGCTCAAATTTCAGATCACTGAATTAGGATTGTTTACATATAAGCCACCAGAATGTTATAAAAATGGGTTGTGTGATAGAAAAGCTACCTCTATACCTAAGCTCCAAATGATCAATGTGTGGAATTAACTTTAAATTAACAGTACAAAATTATATAGGAGAAACTTTTTCTTTTCTTCAGAAATTATTACTCTGAATACTTTACTTGTCAAAAGATAACATTTTTACCTTTGGAACAGTATTAGCTGTTAGAAATAATACGTACATTTCTTGAAGAATTGAAGAGAAATTTTCCCTTTACCAGGTTATGGTTTTTATCCATGTGACCTGCCAGTTCTGTGAAACATCTTATTATTATCTCCCATATGATTCTCTTCTTAATACTGATATTTGTTATCTTCTCCATTTCCATTTTTCTGTCTGTGAAGATCCAAGTGTTTTAAAAGACAAGGACATGTATTATTTGGGACACTTTTCCCTTGATTAGATCAACACAAGTTCTCTGTTCCCAGGCCCTTTGCTGTGTAAGCACCCATTTAAGGTCAGTGCTACTCTTTAACTTCATATTTCTCTGATACTGTAGGTTAAAACCATAAATAGAAATAATATAAAAAGAGTTTACTAAAATATGAAAATTAATGTGTCAGCAGTTTATTCATCAGTATATTAATTATGGTTATTTCTGCAGATAAACCACGCCATCAACATCTCCATCATGAATGGCTTTTTTGATTTTGCCCGTAAAGAGGGCTTTCCTACACAATTCCCTGCAAACAAAACTGCAGTTACTGTGGATGTTCTTGAAGCAGGTTTGATCTTGGCATCTGTGATGCTGATACTTTGTTTCTACATGATCATTCCAGGTTTCAGGAGAAAATATGTAAGTTATAAAGTTACACTCTATATATTGTATAATTTAACTTTTAATTTGTTATAATACATTGTAGTGCAACCATGAAATTTGTTAATGAATTCATCACACTCCACTCTCTGCTGCTAGAAGATGACAAAGAATTTTGAACTGAGACAAAAGCAAATTCTTTCTATGGCGCAGCAGCCCAAAGTCAAGCCTTGGCCTCCTCCCATGTAGGAGGTTTATTTATCTTTGAAGTGTGCATTTATGAGTAGTGAGTGACAAGCCCACTGCCTCTGCACAATTTCTACCCAATCCTGATTTGTCTGCTAGGACCATCTAGTAATGAATCAAAAGAGACTTGGATGACAAATGGCTGCTGAATGTTGCTTACAGAACATCTCGTTCATGCTTGTAAAGTTCTTTTACATGCTGTAAATCTACGACATGGGACAGCCGGCTTTACTTTCCCTCCGAAGGAAGTTGTGCTATGGATTTTTATCACCCTTAAAAATCCATTGACCTCAGCCAGGTTTGAACCCGTGAACGTTGGGTCCAGTGGTGAGCATGCTAACCACTAGTCCACCGAGGGCAACAGACAGAAGCAAATGTGATCAGTAATTCTTTTAGATCAGATGCTTAGAAAAACTTATTCAGATTTGAAGGCTGCAGGATTCAGTCTGTGAACCTTCCATGTATTTGTTAGTTATATAACTGCACTGTATGGACTGCAGGAATAATTTAAGTAAATTATACGAAAAGATTATGTATAATGAACTAGAAGGGACTGGAATCATGTTATATTTTATGGTTATTTATTGGCATTTACCTGGTGGAACTGAGGAAAGTCCATTTGATTCAGGCACCTTCTGAATACAAGTCAGCCTCATTACTGATTAAGCTGACTTGCTCAATTGTTATATTTTATTCAGTCTCTCATTTTGTTTTGAAAACAAACTCACTTAATATGGCATGTGTACTTGCTGCCTGAGACCTTTCATCTCTTGTTCTGAAATTTGGCATCTTTGTTATTTATTTACAGCAACCTGTTATTTTTGTGCGAGTGACATTGAGTCTACTTATTGGTGCCATATTGATTAGTAAGTTGAATATGTTTTCTTCACTCCTATTTTGTTGATTTTTCTATAGCTCATTATAACAGACATGAACATTAAATGTTTCTTTCACTATGCTAATAGCCAGTAACTTTGGACAAGCTTGGGAAGTTGGTGAAATTACTACACACACATCATACAAAGCAGGAGCAAAAGAGGAAATCCTTGCAACTGTCGGTGTCAGACTTGGACTACGTTCAGTAAATGTCACCCTGTTGCAAACAGGTTAGATATTTTTCATATCTGTCCCTTTTACTAGGTTGTGTCTTCCCTTACATATGTTTTTGAATCATGTTAGTGAAGCTGACTACTCATCTCTGTCTAGTACTGAGGTCAAGAAAGAGTGGAGCTGTACCTCCACACTCCATACATCTGCATGACATGGTGCTTAATAAATACCAAGGACAACTTTACCTGTATTTTAATTATTTTGAAAGGCACAGAATAACATTCTCTATTTGAGGTGTGTCAGCTATTATTGATACTTCAAGTTGCATAATATTGAAATTCATTGTCTAATTCAGGTGTATTTAAGGTAAGGGTAAAGTTGTCCCTATACTTAAGCACCACACTATGAAAATATATGCTTGAATAGAGGTAAAACCCCATGCATTCTTCACACTCCAGCTGGTTTATATTCAGGAAAAAAAGCATTAATACCTATTAGTTAGGCGAAGGGGTGAGGCCCATAACTAGTCTGGACATAGTGACAAAGAGAAAAATTTTGGTCCCTGCTGGAAATTGAATCCCAGTCTACTGGCCTGTAGCCATTGAACCTAATAGCATTTTAGTTAAAATTTTATACAATAATATTTAAGAACACAAGAAAACAAAATTTCAGAATTAGAATTTATAGTAAGAATTGTACAACTGGTATGTTTTATCATTATAAATGTAAACACAATTTTATGGCTGGCTTTCAAGAATGGTTTTATCAAATGATAATACATTTTTCATATCAAACTCAAATTTTACACATGCATGGAAGTCTATACATCAGTATAGTCTGTGGACTACCTGTAAGTTGTATGTGTTTGATTATTGATGTTATGCACAGTCTGAATGTGTAAGGTACCAAGATGGCATACCTAAAGATATTTCTTGTTAATTTTATGGAATTTTATCTTAAAATTCAATGACTAGACATCATATGCAGCACTTATTGTGTTTTATTATAGAAGATAAAAAGAATAGCAAGTTGCCAGGAGAAAAGATTGACTACAATGAAAGATTCTGGTGGACATGGGATCAAGGACTTTTTGGCTTTGGGCCATATGGTAAGTTTCATTACTGAAACATTAAATACACTGACTAGAGTTTTCCTGAAAATGCCATGTAAAATTGGTGTTGTTTGATGAAGTCTTGGAGGTTTCAACAAAGTTATACTCCAAATTTTTATTCTGGCTTTGCATTTATTTAAAAGAAAATACATTTTCTTTGAAAAGTCAGAATTTTTCAGTCTTGACATGTGTGCATTTATAATCCATGTACCGTTTTAAAACACTTCCCTACTCATACTTATGTTTGGTAGATGTATATGGAAAAATGTGTCAAATGCATTGGTGAAGCCAAATCTCCCTCTTCTTAACTTTTTAATGCTCCAGTAATAGATTCAACATTGTTAGCAGCTCAGTCTGCCATTGTATACTATCCAGTGCCAGTCAGAATCATTTCATATTCTCACAGTCAATCCATTTTAATATTACCCTTCGATCACCATTTAGTCGCAGTACTAGAAGTTTCTCAATTAAAATTCTTTTTGTCTTTCTGTCTTCTACCCCCATCTAAGTTATATGTGTGGCCCATAACAAATTTTTTATTTAACTGCCGAAGTTCATGGAGACTACTGTCTTCTGGGATGTTACACTGTGTAGTCTTGTAGAAGACCAACTTTTCAGAGATGCTTCCTGCCTCCATCAGTACTCATTGCCCTGATGATGGAGGCAGTAAGCATCTCTGAAATGCCAGTCAGTTTTTACAAGATTACACAGTGTAACATCCCAGAAGACAGTAATCTTTTCACATGCTGCTAGAAGAATCTTAATCAGTATATAATCTGTGTAAGCTTCTTGTAATTGGAAAGGTTTTCTTTGTTGAAGGCAGATAAATAAATTAATAAGTAAATGTCTGTTTTCATAAATAATTCATCATTTTAATTGCTCTTATCCATGTTAATTTTAAATAACAGAAATTTTAAATTGTCATAGCATCTGAGTAGTGTGTATTGTTTGTTGTTGTTGTTGTTGTTTATTATTATTATTATTATTATTATTATTGACAGCTGGTGTACTGCAGCAAAGTTTTAGACAAGCTCAAAATCGTGGTCTGCCACTGCCAATCCTATGGGTAGTTGACTACTTCACTATGGATGGAGAAGGTCTTCGGTATGGACGTCATTATCGTACTGCAGGCTGGTATGCTCACATTGCAATGTGGTAAGTAACAGAGAAACATTGTGAACAAATATGAAATTGTTACAAAAATTTAATTAATGTTCTCCTTGTTCTGCATGTAGATAGATATTAATTACACATTCCTTTTACTCTGTCGATGAATTTCTAATGTTTACAAGTAAATCATAATTACGAGGTGCGATCGGAAAGTTTAAAGACTGTGTCAATAGAGGGCGAACCGGATGTAGTACGAGCTTCTGCCTTTAGGGGGTGCGGCCTACATTCATAGTGAATCAGTGTGCCAGCCGGCATCATCGAATTAGCATTTGTTTCTTAGTTACGGGCGTTTTGGTAGTGCATTACACCGACCCTCCTGCGATTTCGGAATGGCGGATTTTC